CCCCCGCGGCGAGAGGGCGGCACGCGGGAGGGGCGGGCCCCCGCTCGCCTCGGCCGCCGGCAAGGACCGCTCGGGGGCGACTGGCCTCTCCTCCTGCGGGCCGCCACGGGGGCGAGCGGGGGGGAAAGGGAGCCGAGATCTCGGATCCCCCAGAGGCGCGGCGGGCTCCTCCTCCTCCTCCTCCTCCTCCTCCTCCTCCTCCTCTCCTCCTCCTCCTCCTCCTCCCTCCTCCTCCTCCTCCTACCGCCACGCTTCCTCGCTCCTCGCTCCTGGCTCCTCGCTACTCACTCTCCTCCCCTCCTCCTCCTCCTCCTCCTCCTCCTCCTCCTCCTCCTCCTCCTCCTCCTCCTGCTCCTGCTCCTGCTACTGCTTCTCCTCCTCTTCTCCTCCTCCCCTCCTCCTCCTCCTCCCTCCTCCTTCTTTTCCTCCTCCTCCTTGCGCCGCCGCATCCTCCTTGCTCCTAGCTCCTCCTCCTCCTCCTCCTCCTCCTCCTCCTCCTCCTCCTCCTCCTCCTTCTCCTCTTCCTCCTCCCTTTCTTTTCCGTATACATAACTTCTCCCTGTCGCACCCCCAGGCCAGTTTTTAGGGCGGGATGGGCGTTGCGCCTGAGACTTACTCACCATTTATAACCCTGAAGCCTAAACATTGGCAACAGCTGCACAGATGGAGGGCGGCTCGTGTTCAAAATGTGGCTCTCGCCTTGGCGCCGCGCACATTCGTTTACCAATGTGTCAGAGTTCCAAAGATTGATGGCGGGGCGTTTTCAAGATGTGGATCTCGCCTTGACGCCGCGCACATTCGCTCTGTAACACTGCAAGAGTTTCACGGATTGAGGGCGGGTCGTTTTCAAAATGTGGCTCTCGCCTTAGCGCCGCGCACATTCGTTGTAAAAATACCAGGGTTTCACGGATTCCCGCGATCGACGTCCCAGAGATGGTGTTTTGGAAGGAGTCACGACCATGAGGGCGCAACAGTTACGATGATTCGCGGTATTGAAGTCCCAAGAATGGCGTCCTGGCACGATTCAGGGTCGTCAAGACGCAACAATCAGGTTGATCCGTGGCGTTGGAATCCCGAGAACAAGATCTTGGCATGCTTCAGGGTCTTCAAACGGTAGACTTCCAACGAAGCAGGTCCCTCTGTGGAAATGAACCGTTGTAGGGGCCTATGAGGAGGGAGCTTGGGGCAAGGGTTTATTCTAACATCGGTGGTGACTCTTGGGCTTACACTGGTCCCCCTTCTCCTCCTTCTCCTCCTCATCCTCCTCCTCCTCCTCCTCCTCCTCCTCCTCCGCCACGCTCCTCGCTCCTCGCTCCTCGCTCCTCGCTCCTCACTCCTCCTCCTCCTCCTCCTCCTCCTCCTCCTCCTCCTCCTCCTCCTCCCCTCCTCCTCCTCCTCCTCCTCCTCCTCCTCCTCCTTCTCCTCCTCCTATTCTCCTCCTCTATTCTCCTCCTCCCCCTCCTCCTCCTCCTCCTCCTCCTCCGCCTCCTCCTCCTCCTCCTCCTCGCTCCTAGCTCCTCCTCGCTCCTCCTGGCGCTGGCTCGGGGCTGGTGCCACGTGCGCTTGCGAGCTCGCGCCACCCGGCGGCCTCCCTCGGCCGCTGCTCGCCTCTCTCCCGCGCCTCCCTCCTCCCGCGGGGCTGCCGTGGAGCGGGTCCCGCCGTGGCGAACAGCCCGGCCACCACTCACAGCTGCTGAGCGACGCGCTCAGGCCGCTCGCGCACGGGTCAGGGCGGTGCAGCTTCTGCTTCGTGGATTCGGTGCACTTCGGCATCGAGGCTGCCACCCGACGCATTGGGGGGCCGCCCTTGCACGTGCCCTTCGCGAAGAAGACGCTCGACGTGCTGAACACGTGCACCAGGAGAACATCCATCGTGCCGTTGACGACGGTGCACGTGCCGCTCATGCTGGTGATGCTCCTCCTGCTCGGGCCGGATCTACTGGTACGGCTCCTCCTACCGAGGTTGGTGGCAGACCGTCCGGAAAATAACCTCTTGGTGAAGACGCTGGTGGTGAGGGTGCTGCTGGCGAAGCGCGTTCGCAGCCTCTTCAGCCTCTTCCTGCACATGGCCGTACTTGTGCAGAGCATCTTGCTGGTCTTGCCCAGGCTCGTGCTGAAGGAGCTCCCGATGGGCCCGCAGCCGCTACCGCGGCCCGTCCAGCCCGGAGCAAGGACAACGGCGAAGACAAGGGTATGTCCACTGGCAAGGATCAGGGCCGTGGCTGCCCTGTCCGAGAATGACGGGCTTGCGTGAGGGCCCGGCGCTTCGGCGCGCGAACGTGCAGTGGGTGCGAGGCCGCGCAGCGCCTGCAGCAGCGCAGGGCGTGATTCTCCCTCTGAGGGCCGAGCGCGTTGCTCCTGCTTTGTCTGCCACCTTCCCTCATTCGCCCCCCTCCCTCGTAGAACCGGCGTCGATGATGGGGTAGTGGAGGTTCGGAGGTGATGAGATGAGGTCAACGAGTTGTTGTGTGATGTTTAAGCCACCTGCGCCCCCCTCCAGAGCTGGAGGCAAAGCCATGCTGACAGGCATAGGAGCTGGCGAAGACTAGCTTTGAGCTGTGATGGGAGTCATAAATTGATTTTCCTGGTTGGTTCGTGGGGCGCCCTGTGCCGCTGAGCGGTGCAGGGTATGCACACTTACCTTCGTTGCTGGAAGGCCAAGCCTTGCCAGTTGCTTGCTTTCGAAGTGTCTATTCCTCCTCCTCCTCCTCCTCCTCCTCGTCCTCCTCCTCCTCCTCCTCCTCCTCCTCCTCATCATCATCATCATCATCATCATCATCATCATCATCATCATCATCATCATCATCATCATCATCATCATCATCATCGCATCAGCATCATCATCATCATCATCATCATCATCATCATCATCATCATCAGCATCATCATCACCTCATCATCATCATCATCATCATCATCATCCATCCATGTCCTCCTCCTCCGTTTCATCCTCTCCTCCGCTCCTCCTGCTCCTCAGCCCCTCCTCCTGCTCCCTCGCCTCCTCCTCCTCCTCCTCCTCCTCCTCCTCCTCCTCCTCCTCCTCTTCCTCCTCCTCTTACTTCTTCTCCTCCTCCTCCTCCTCCACCTCCTCCTCCTCCTCCTCCTCCTCCTCCTCCTCTCCTCCTCCTCCTCTCCCTCCTCCTCTTACTTCTTCTTCTTCTCCTCCTCCTCCTCCTCCTCCTCCTCCTCCTCCTCCTCCTCCTCCTCCTCCTCCTCCTCCTCCTCCTCCTCCTCCTCCTCCTCCTTTTCCTCCGCCTCCTCAACCGCCTCCTCCCCCTCTCCTCCCTCTGTCCTCCCCCTTTTCCTCTTCCCCCCTCCTCCTCCTCCTCCTCCTCCTCCTCCTCCTCCACCTCCTCCTCCTCCTCCTCCTCCTCCTCCTCCTCCTCCTCCTCCTCCTCCTCCTCCTCCTATTCCTCCTCCCTGTGTTTCTTTTCTATATAAGTAACTCCTCCCTGTCGCATCCCGATGCCAATCTTGAAGGGCGGGCTGGGCGTTTCGCCTGAAACTTCCTCACCGTGTATGATCACGTTTCTTGCGAATGTGCAACAGCCTTACAAATGGAGGGCGGGCGGTTTTCAACATGTGGCTGTCGCCTCAGCGCCGCGCACACCCGCGTTAAAATTTTGCAAGAGGTTCACGGATTGAGGGCGGGTCGTTTTGAACATGTAGCTCTCGCCCCAGCGCCGCGCACATTCGTTTTCAAAATCCCACCTGCCCTCTGAACGTGAGTGGTTTAGCGCGTTGTCTCTTCTACATTCGCATAGTTCCCTTCGGTGAAGGGGTTTCCCCGCGTGTGGGTCACTTCACAACCAGAAGCGCACTTTACAACCAGATGGGCCACTTTATAACCAGCTTACAAAATCCGAGAAGGACACTTTACAACCAGGAAGGGCACTTTACAACCAGGCAAGTGGAAACACATATTGAGTGCACGCGGGCCTTCCCCTGAAATCTCCGCAGGCAAGCGCAAGGGTGGCTTTGGGCTCTTTGAGGCATGTTGGTTGTAAAGTTGCCCATCGCGCACGAAGAAGCACTGCGCGCGCGTTGGTGATGCGACAACCTGGTGCGCTATGGTATTTTGCGTGCTGGTGGGCGGATTATGGTTTTGACCTGCTCTCTAAGCTCTGTCGGTCAGTTCTGCCATTGCTTGCTCTGCCTTTGTCTGACGGACGAAGGCTACTCGCGCAGGACACACGAATAAACCATGATCCTGTCCAAGACTGGAGCTGCATGGCAGTGGGAAGCTGTAGTGGTAGATGTGGTAGCGGGGGCTACAATGGGAACTGCATGGTGTTGGGAAGCTGCGGTGGCAACTGTAGTGGTCGCCAGGCAGCGGTGGGAACTGTGGTGGTAGCTGGGCTGCAATGGGATATGTGGTGGTAGCGGGGGGTCAGTCAGAATTGTGGAGGTAGCGGGGCTGCAGCGGTAAGTGTGGTAGTAGCAGGGTTGCAGTGGAAACTGCAGTCGAAGGGGTTCAATACGAGGCCGTTGGTGAAGACCCCGACCACCGTCTTGAACATTGCGGTGACCGCGGAGGTGGACACGCCCCAGTAGGTAGACATGGAAGTAAGGCACGTCAAAGGAGAACGCGCCCAGCGGGAATGGAAACCGCTCAGAGGCATCGCTGGGGCCTGCGCAGAGCGTTCAGGCGCTCGGGCTCCGGAGCGCCCACGTGCTCTGGAGCACTTTTCAGAGCGCCCGCGCGCCCTGGAGCACTTTTGGGAGCGCCCACTTGCTCTGGAGCATTTTCAGAGCGCCCACTTGCTCTGGGGCACTTTGCGGAAAGCCCGAACACGCACGGCCACTCTGAGCTGGTTGTAAAGTGGTCCGTTCTGGTTGTAAAGTGGCCCGTTCTGGTTGTAAAGTGGTCCGTTCTGGTTGTAAAGTGGGCCGTTCTGGTTGCAAAGTGGACGTTCTCGCTGAAAAACCATACTTTCCAATCCTATGTTGGTTGTAAAGTAACCCATATGGTTATAAAGTGGTTGTTCTGGTTGTAAAGAGACCGAATCTCGGGTTTCCCCTCCCCCTACCCCCTACCCCTGGACATGGGAGGGGGCGCCCCGCGACCGATTGGAGCGTCCAAGATGGTCCCTGATGGCTCCGAGAAAGCCTCAGAGAGCCCAAGATGGCCTCCAAGACGGCTCGAGATGGCTCAAGACTGCTAAAGATGGCTTCCAACATGTTCCTGGAGACTCCAAGACCGCCTCAAGACGGCTCCAAGTGGCCTCGGAGCACCCCCAAGAGAGTACCCAAGAGACCAAAATCAATCCAAAACCTGCAGACAATCCCCCCCCCCCCCTCCCCTCCTCCTGCCATTTTCCCTCACAATCTCCCCTATCCTCCTCCAACCTCCCTCATCCCTCCTCCTCCGACTCCTCCTCCTCCTATTTCTCCTCCTCCTCCTCCTCCTCCTCCTCCTCCTCCTCCTCCTCTTCCTCTTGTTCCTCTTGTTCCTCTTCCTCCTCCTCCTCCTCCCTCCTCCTCCTCCTCCTCCTCCTCCTCCTCCTCCTCCTCCTCCTCCTCCTCCTCCCTCCTCCCCCTCCCTCCTCCCGCCTCCCTCCTCCCTTCTCCCCTTCTCCCTCATCCCCCTCCTCCCTCCTCCCCCTCCTACCCCTCCTCCTCTTCCACCCCGTCTTCTTCTTCTTCTTCCTCCTCCTCCTCCTCCTCCTCCTCCTCCTCATCATCATCATCATCATCATCATCGTCGTCATCGTCATCATCATCATCATCATCATCATCAGCATGCTCATCAGCATCATCGTCATCATCAGCATCATCGGCTGCATCATCATCGTCGTCAACATCATCAGCATCAGAATCAGCATCATCGTCATCATCATCATCATCAGCAGCAGCAGCAGCATCATTATCATCAGCATCATCAGCAGCATCATCATCACCACCATCACCATCACCAGCATCACCATCATCATCATCATCATCATCATCATCATCATCGTCATCATCACCCTGCTCATCATCATCAGCATCATCGTCATCAGCAGCAGCATCATCGTCATCATCGTCAGCATCATCAGCATCATCATCATCCGAAGCATCATCATCAGCAGCATCGTCAGCATCATCATCACCATTAGCAGCATCAGCTTCATCAGCATCATCAACATCATTAGTAGTGGCGTCATCAAGATCAGCATCATTGGCAGCATCGACACCATCGTCAGCATCAGCATCGACATCATCATCAGCATCAGCATCATCAGCATCAGCATCATCAGAATCATCATCTTCATCATCATCATCATCCGCAGCAGCAGCAGTATCAGCAGCATCATCAGCATCAACATCAACATTACCATCATCATCAACATCGTCATTATTATCGTCATCAGCACCAGCATCGTCAGCATCATCGTCAGCATCAGCATCATCATCGTCATCCGCATCAGCATCATCATCAGCATCAGCATCATCAAAATCAGAATCAGCATCATCATCAGCAGCATCGTCTGCAGCAGCACCAGCATCACCATTATCACCATCAGAACCACCATAATCATAATTATCATCATACGGATGAGCATCATCATCATCATCATCATCCTCATCATCAGCATCATCATCATCTCCATCGTCAGCATCATCAGTATCATCATCGTCATCAGCAGCAGAAGCATCAGCATCATCAACATCATCATCATCATCATCATCATCATCATCAGCATCACCATCATCAGCATGATAAGAATCAGAATCCTCCTGCCCTCACCTCCTCCTCCCGCGCCCCCTCCTCATACCCCCTACCCCTCTCCGCCTCCTCCTCCCCCTCCTCCTCCTCCTCATCCTCCTCCTTCTCCTCCTGATCATCACAAGCATCAGCATCATCACAAGCATCATCAACATTATTATCATCATCATCATCATCAGCAGCAGCAGCATCAGCACCATCATCACCAGCAGCAGCAGCAAACGCAACAGCAACAGCAACAGCAACAGCACCATCATCAGCATCAGCATCATGATCATCAGCATCATCATCGTCATCATCATAGTTAGCATTATCATCATCATCACCATCATCACTATCATCATCAGCAGCAGCAGCGGCAGTAGCATCATCATCAGCAGCATCATCATCAGCATCAGCATCGCCATCACCATCATCTTCGTTGTCGTCAGTAGCATGAGCATCAGCATCAGCATCAGCATCATCAGCAGCATCATCAGCATCAGCATCATCAGCAGCATCAGCATCAGCATCAGCATCAGCATCAGCATCAGCATCAGCATCAGCATCAGCATCATCATCATCATCATCATCATCATCATCATCATCATCATCATCATCATCATCATCATCATCATCATCATCATCATCATCATCTCATCATCATCATCATATCATCATCCTCCTCCTCCTCCTCCTCCCCCTCCCACTCCTCCTCATCCCCCTCCTCCTCCTCATCCTCCTTCTCCTCCTCCTCCTCCACCTCCACCTCCCCCTCCCCCCCCCCACCTCCCTCTCCTGATCCTCCCGCGGCCCCGCGTCCTCATGAGCAAGCTCTGCGCGAAGCCACTCTGCGTGTGCCGCGTTCGCCTGCGCCTGGCCGCGAGCCTGGGGCCACGTGCGCGGGAGAGCCAGGAGGGGGGGGCCCCACGAGCGAGAGGTCCGAGTGCGGGGAGCGAGTGATGTCACCCTTCCCTGAAACGCGGGCGCTGCATTTCTTTCACCCTGGGCATTGTCACCGGGTGTCGGGCCCTGGACCGTCACAGATCGATGCGGCTCGAAAAATGGCACGGAAAGATGGGGTCGTGGGCTCTGGTCGTGATTTGTTCGCGACGTTGCAACCCTTTCGCAACGTGGGGTCTCACTCAGGGTTCGAGGACGATGAGGACGATGATGAGAAAAGGAAGGAAGAGCTCAGATGCCAGATGCCCCTGTTGCGTGCACAGAAGCCGGGCTCCAGGTCGTGGATCCTTCCCTCCCCCTGTGTCATGTGTTTCCGTCCTTCCCTCCTCACTTCGTGCCTTTCCTGATCCTCCCTTGTCGCTCCTATCGGTCTCCACGTCTTCGTTGCCCAGACCGACCAGCGGTAGCGCGCACGAAGAGTAACGGCTGCACCTTGCAGAGGGTGAATCCTCGTGGCTTCTCTCCGCGCATGTTCTCGACCCTACACAACATCTGCAAGCGTGATGCATCCGCAGAGGAACGGAGTGGAAAAAGGGTAGAGTGAAGTGCGCTAGAGCACGAAAATGAAATAGCAGTGCAAAGTAGAGTGGAGCAGCGTGAGAGTACAGTGGGATAGGCTACTCCTTTCACTACGCGGGCTGCCCCTGGGGCCCCAGAGCGGAGAATATAGTAGTGCAGCGTAGCGTGAAGAATGGCAACGCAGCTAGTAAAGCAGTGGAGGTAGAATAGGGGAGGCCTTTCATGTGCCCCCCTCCGCCCTTTCTCCCTCACCGGAGGCTGTGCCGTCCCTCCCCCCCTCCCCAGACATCGGCGTCTCGATTTTTTCGAGGCACGAGCCCCCGACCTCTCGACCACTTTCCCGGGACCAATTCTTAATCCAGAAGCCGAAAACGATGAAAAACATCCAGCCTCGATTTTTTCGAGACTCCCGATGCCTGGGCCCCTCGCATCCTTTGCGCATTGTCATTGCGCCCTTTTTGTCCAACCATCCTGTGGTGTTGGGTCCTCGTTTTGAAGAGACAGCGCCCCGCGTCCCTCCTTCCTTCCTCCTCGCCCTCCTCCCTCCTCCACCTCAGTGCCTCTGGCCTCCGCACGTATCTGTTTCGGTGCACCCCACACACACACGTTCCGTGGCCCCATGGGGAGCTCCGCTGAATGCCCCAGTGGCAAAGTTCGCGTGGCGGCCCCGCCCCATGTCGGTGCACCCCTCACACGCTTCGTGGCCCCATGAGGAGCTCCACCGAAGGACCCAGCGGCAAAATTCGCATGGCGGCTCCGCCCCACTTCGGCGCACCCCTCACACGATTCGAGGCCCCATATGGGGAGCTCCACCCACCGCACCGTCTCGGCGCACCCCTCACACGTTCCGTGGCCCCAGAGGGAGCTCTACCGAAAGCCCCAATGGCAGGATTCGCATGGCGGCCCCGCCCCATGTCGGCACCCCCCTCCCACGTTTCGTGGCCCCATGAGGAGCTCCACCGAAGGCCCCAGTGGCAGGGTTCGCACGGCGCCACCGCACCCACTTCGGCACACCCCTCTCGCGTTTCGTGGCCCCACAGGGAGCGCCGCCGAAGGCAGGACTCACAACTGCGGTACTCACAATTGAATATGGCTGGGTCCTTCGCCAGGACATTTTTCCCATGGGGCGGGGGGGGGAAGACCATGGGGCGTGGGGGGGCGCCGAAGCCCAAGATCTCTGGGGGGGGCAACAAGAGGGCGCTGGAGAGGCGCCAGCTGGTCACGGCTTGCAGGTGTGTGCTTGCATGCTACTCTACTGCTCCTGGCGTTTGCGCGGGGTTGCCTGGACTTGATCCGAGATTGCTACCGCTTCCCAGGCGCCTTATTCTGACGATGGCGCTTGTTTTTGTATGAGTGGATGTGCACACTTGCCTAGACGTGTTTGGATGTGCCAGGCTCTCCTTACCAGGGGACCATTGCTTTCACATGGCTGCATGCCCCTCTAAATGTGTTCGCAGGTCCTTACATGTGCTTGAATGCGCGTGGGTATCCTCCAAGTGTACCTAAGTTTCTGCCATCGGTTATTCCAGCTACTGCATTAAGCGTTTCTTCCTCAATACATGCGTGCACTGAGGGTGATTGCGTATACATGTGTATATATATATGTATATATACATATAGTTATATGCACATATGCACATATGCATACACGTACACACATATACATAAATATGATTATATATGGTTATGCACATCTGCATCTGCATGTTCGTAGATACATATACATACATACATACATACATACATACATACATACATACATACATACATACATACATACATGCATACACACATACATACATGCATGCATGCATGCATGCATACGTACGTACGTACGTATGTACATACATACATACATACATACATACATACATACATACATACATACATACATACATACATACATACATGCATACATACACCCATACACCTTGCTACTCATGTATTGTGTATGCGTGTATATATAGATGTGTGTATATGCATATGGTTGGCTGGGCATTCCAGGTTCTCACCTGGTGCCCGCCTGGGGCCGCCTCCTGTGCTGGCTGCGTCTCCAGGGCTTCCGCCCGCTGCCCTGCGCAGTTCGTCCCCGGGGAGCAGCGAAGTCCCGCCTGGACCCGCGTACTCCCCGACCCCGCAGGAGATCGTTTTTCTTTGAATCGGCGATAACCGGGGTTATGCCGGGGGGGGGGGGAGGAGGAGGAGGAGGAGGAGAGGAGGAGAGGAGGAGGAGAGGAGGAGGAGGGGAGGAGGAGGAGGAGGGAGGAGGAGGGGGCCGGCCGATAACCTAACCCTCGCGCTGTGGGCATGCCCTGCATATGCCCGCGCCCCCCCTCCCGCGGACCTGCACAACCGGCAAAATTAGGTTATCTTGGGGGGGGGGCGGGGGGACGGGGGCAAGCCCGATAACCCAGGTTATCGCCCGACCCTTAAAAAAACGTCTCCAGTGCCAACGAAAGTTGCGCCAGTTGAGCAGTTCGCAGCCACCTAGGGAGCTGCGACGTCCCGCATGGACCCGCACACTCCACGACTCCGCAAACCCCCCGCGGCGCCACTGGCCCAGTTCGCAGCCACCCAGGGAACAGCGCAGGAGCAGGCAGGAGGAGGCAGGCGGGAGGAACAGGGGGAGGTGGACGACACAGCGTTCGATTCAAAACGAGAATCCAACACATGAGGGCTCGATGGGGGACAAAACATCCACACGCGCGGCGTCGCCAACGCATGCCGGCTTCTGCCCGCAAAATAACGGACGTCACGTAAGAATGGCAAGGCCGAGGATCCCAAACACATAGAAACAACACGGTGTTGCAGAACGACGCGTAAAAAAAAACTGCGCATTGTTGCGACGTCGTACGCACACCATACGCGAACCAATACGCCCAACTATTGCGACCAAGCGGGCCTCTCGCGCGCTCGCGTCGGAATCGTTCGAACGCCCTTTGCGCGTTTATTGCGGGGCACGACCCCTGTCACTGAATACCATGCGGGCCACTCGCGCCCGTCGGCCGCGTGCGCACGTCGAGATTTTTACAAAGCATTGATCACCGACATGTGGGCACCATCATCGTCATCGGCGTGATCAGCATCGGCGCCGTCATTGGCCTTGCCGTCGTCATCACCATCGTCGCCACCCGCATCGCTACTAGCAGAATCGTGCCTACCATTGGTGACATCACCATAATGCCGCGCCCGCCCGAATCACCGACAAGCACTGAGGTGCCCACGCGCCAAAGCGGCCTGCGAAACGCGTTTGGAAGTCCCGAGCGGTCCACGCCACCGCGGCCGCGGCGGCCGCGCCAAGACCTCGCCATCCCTGGGGGGCTGCGATATGCGAAACTTTCGAAGGCTGCGGGGGGGTCCAACGAAGCGACGTCCTACCCGGAGTCAAATGAGACCTCGCCATCAACCCTGGGGGGCTGCGATCCGCGAAACTGTCGCCACTTTCATAGCCTGCTGAAGAGTGACGTCCTACCCGGAATCAACGGAGACCTCGCCATCCCTGGGGGGCTGCGATCCACGAAACTGTCGCCACCGTCGATGGCTACTGGGGGGTCCAGCAGGATGACGTCATACCGGAAATCAAATGGAACGTCGCCATCCCTGGGGGACTGCAATCTGCGAAACTGTCGCCATGCTCGAGGCTGCTGGGGGGTCCAGCGGAATGACGCCGTACCCGGATTCAAATGAGGCCTCGCCATCCCTGGGGGATTGCGATCTGCAAAACTGACGCCACTCTCGAGGGCCGTTGGGGGGTCCAGAAGAGCGACGTCCAACCCAAATTCAACTGAGACCTCGCCAACCCTGGGGCGCTGCGATCTCGGAAACTGTCGCCAATGTCGAAGGCTGCCGGGGGGAGCGACGTCCTACCCAGCTTCCAATGAGACATCGCCGTCCCTGGGGGGCTGCGATCTGCGAAACTCTCGCGCCACTTTCGAGGGCTACTGTGGGGGGGGCAGAGGAGTGACGTCCTACCCAGATTCAAACGATACCTCGCCATCCCTCGGGGGCTACGATGTGCGAAACTGTCGCCACGTTCGAAGGTTGCTGGGGGTCCAGCGGAGCGACGTCCTACCCATGTTCAAACTGTCGCCACTTTCGAGGGTTGCGGGGGGGCCAGCGGAGTGATGTTTACCCAGATTCGATTGAAACCTTCGGCGGGGCTGCAATCTGTGATACCGAGGGTTGCTGCGGGGTCCAGCAGAGCGACGTCTTACGCGGACCACCAGGGAGACCTCGCCAGCCCTGGGTGGGCGCGCTCTGCGAAACTCTCGCCACGCTCGAGGGTTGTAGAGGGGTCCAACGGAGTGACGTCTTACCCAGATTGAAATCTCGCCATCCCTGGGGGGCTGCGATCTGCGAAACTGTCGTCGCTCACGAGGGCTGCTGGGAGGCCCAGCGGAGTGACG